AAAAACAATTTTGAAAATCGTAGAACATTACATGGCCAGTTAGCTTCTCAAGATGGTTATCCAGAGGGATATATTATTTTATTCTTTCAAGCATTTGGATCAATACATTAGTCAATCTTTGATGGACTACTGTGACCATGCACATTGCTAGGCACTTGGAGAACCTCCAAATTGTTCTCAAGAAGCTCCTGAGCAGGATGAAGGGATGACAAATCCAGGGTGGGGCAAAAGTAGGTTCATAGTTGCTGGTATGGAAAATAATACAGTAATAAATAAATAGCACAAGAATAAGCTCTGTTTCACCTATTCACAACTGTAAATGTACTTTGGCCTCACCCTGAACAATGATAACTCTAGTTCAATGAATAATGTAATAAATGCATGAGAAATTCCATGGGAGTTCAGAGGAGAGGAAATTCCCTTTGAATAAGAAAGCCATTATAGATGGGCTGGCCTTGGGGCAGGTCCTTCAAAAAGGGTATGCCTTCCAGCAAAGTGGAGGTCAGCGGCATCAGGAAAGCTTTGAGTGCTTGGAGTCTGGTTTTTGTTTGGTTGAAGCACAAGCTACACAGGGAACAGATGCACTGGACAGGATACATTTATGGAGAGAAAGGAGGGCCTGAACTCTTTGGGAAGTATAATCTGGGTGGAGGGTGGAGCAGGTCAAAGAAGATGGTCCTGAGCAGTAGGATCTGGGGAGGAGTGGGGCAAGGGACGAGGTAGATGTCCCCTAAGAGGCTTTTACCACAGGGAAGAGGACCATGACCTCTTACAAATGGGAGCTCCTGAAGGAGGGTGATAGAAGAGGAAGAGGATCAATGGTCAAGTTTGAGTGCTCAGGAATTGGAAAGCCCTCAGAGAAGACTGTGAGACTTTGATCTGGGTGACTGCAGGGACAGTGATGCTGTTCACTGGCCAGGTTTGTTGACAGAAACACCATGTGTTGGGGCAGGGGGAGAAAATGATGAATCATATTTTGAACAAGCCAGTGATGCAAAGGAGACCACTAGAGAAGTTGGGTCTGGAGGCGCATTCAGAGGTGGAGCTAGAGAAGTAGACTTGATCTTTCTCCACTTGCAAGTATCATTATGTTAAGGCAAGGCATATTCCACATGAGAGGGTGGAAGGGGAAGACAGAGGGAGATGGGGCACTGTGAAGTTGATGCCAGAAACACTAGAAGAAAACTGGCAAGGAGCAGCATCACTGCCACCCACCCCCACCACTGTCACCAAGAGTAGGGGACAAACCTTACCAAGAAGAGGAGAGAGGCTGAGGGAGAGAAAATGTTCACAGAAACTGCCTTTATTGGATCAATTTTGATGGTTAGCCTCAAAATAGTCAAAGGTCTATATGGAGAAAGCTAGGTTTATTTTTTAGATTTTATTTAATTTTAGACAGAGGGGAAGTGAGGGAGAAAGAGGGAGAGAAACATCAATGTGCGGTTGCACTTGTGTGCCCCCTACTAGGGACCTGGCCTGCAACCCAGGCATGTGCCCTGACTGGGAATCAAAACTACAACCCTTTGATTTGCAGCCCATGCTCAATCCATTGAGCTACACCAGTCAGGGCAGAAAGCTAGGCTTCTTATCCTCCCTATGTTCAAGAATAATAATTGGTGGTTCTCTTTTTCTTCTTTTTTTCTCCCCCCCTTATTCCTCTCTTTCCCTCTCCTACCCCCGCCTCCCTACCTTGCACATCCTTGGTGCTTTTGGACTGACCTTGATTGAGCACAGGTGGCTGTTGTTGACATAGAGGAGGAGTTAGGATTCCCTGTCACCTGCAAAGAGCAACTTTTTTTTTCAATCTTTGTCTTTAGTGCTGATTGAGGAGGGAGTTCTGTGCTTGAACAGTGTGATGTTTTAGGTCTTTCACAGCAGGCAAAATATATTTGCAATATGACATCATTAACGTTTCTGTAACTTTTTAAATATAACATTTTACTTCTTTCTTTGTACTGGTCTCAAGAGCCACTCATAAATCTCTCTGTAACTGCATAGGGTCCCAGGGCCAGAGACTGGCCACTCCTGGCATTGTGATTAGTCATTTAATACCCAAGACAATGACTAATGTCTGGCAACAAAGTCTCCATTAGGAGTCACGTGTCCCGGGACCCTGGGCAAAGGCACACTGGGAACACCCTATTGTTGGGTCTTAGTACCATGGTCAAGGGAGAAGTTGAGGAGCAGAAGTTGAGGTGCCATGTGGGCACCATCAGGAAAGGAAAGACTTCCCTCCCCACGGTCAATGCCAGTACAATCACAAAGCCTACAATTAGTTCAGGATCAAAGTACCCACCTTTGTCTTATCTTTATACCCCAGCTTTTCATATATTTTTTCATATGTTTACAGAAAGCAGTCAACTGAGCTATTCATGGAAAGGTTTGTGGGTTTGGTTAACGAGGTGGAGGAGTATTGCATTTCAGCTGGAAACACATCCCTAGAATGCCAAAACATTTATTCCAAAGTCTGGTTTCCTGGTGCAACCGGCGGCATGGTGATAGTGTGTCCGTTCAGAGACTGGGGGTCGGGGCCAGCAAGGCACTCGATCCAAGTGTATCCCAGAAGGCTGCTATTGTTAAATTATATTCTTTAGGAAAAACCACCCGTGTCACATTTTGTAAACTTGATATCCATACACTTTTTGACTGGCATTCTATTTTAGCCGTAAGCCTATGATTTATTTACAGCAAGCCTGTTTTCTCTCTTGCTTAGGGTGGCAGCCGAAAGCCCGGGTCACTTTCCAGGCTCCAAGGATAGGAGCAAAGGGGGCTGGAGGGTTGCTTCCCTCCACGGACACTGACTCGGGCTGTGCCACCCTGCTCCCTGGGAGCAGACAGCCAGCTTCTCCTCAGTCCTTGCTGCCATTCATCCGGCTCTGTGCGGCAGCCCAGCTTCTGTGTCTGCCGGGAGGGGGCTGCCAAGTGCCCTGCCTACTGGCTGCTTCCCGAATCCCTGCCACGCCACACACAAACACATCCACACACGCTCTGTCTTGCTCACACACAGAGCCACACGCACATGCGAGCGTGTTCCTTCCTTCATGCTCACGGTCCTCAGCTCTTGACTTCTACGAGCCCATGGAACCTTTCTGGAAAGACGCTCTTGATCCAGCAGGGTAGGACTGTTTTGATTTCTCTCTTTGCAGCTTTAGCATTTGGAGAAAGCAACTTACCTTTCTGGCCAGTGTCTGTATCCTGGCAGGGAGAGAAGGATTTGCTGTTTTTCATGAGGTTTTGTGTGCATCTTCTTCTGCTTTCCGGACTTGTAGGATTCTTTGTGTAATTTCTATATAATTTGACAGGTTCAGATTTGTAAAGAGCCCTACGAAGTGCTTTTGCATGGGTTTAGAAGAGACATTTGAAAATTGAAAGTGCGATTTATGGAAACGAAATCATCTGCAAAAAAATTGCTTGGGAAAGTAATGGTTGCTGGCCATAAAGAGAAATATCTGTGATTCACCTAATGTGGTTTTAACCCTTTCTTTGCTTACAACCTATAGTTTTTGATGCCAAGTTCAATTTTGGCTTTATATTGAATCAGCTACATCTGCATGTTGTCTCCAAATGATCTGTTCTTATAAGAATTTGGTAAATGAGCACTTATTAGTATACAGATATCCAAAGGTATTACAATTAGTAACATATGCTGTGAACATTTTATAATATTTGTCAGGTACTATATCTGGTGTTTGGGATAATGATGAAAGCAAAGTATTAATAGTTGTATCAGAGTCCGTTAGGCTGGGGCAAAGGAAGTTTTTTAGAAAGTACAAACTATGCAAGATTATGGGCGTACAATATCTTTGGAGATATATATGGTGAATTCAGTTCAAAACTTTTCTATTTTTTTTCATTTGGGTATTTGATTCTGCATGTCCTTGCCCATGTGAACTGAGAGGGTCCAATTTTAGGATTAAAGAGCAGAACTGCATCATTGCAATTTAAAATTTGTGGGTTAGACCAAGTGTGTAACGTGATTGCCAAAGATGTGGTAAATGACCTGAGGTTACCTTTGGAATAAAAGGGTCACATTTCATACTGAGTTTTCTGAAGTTTTAGTTGCATAACCTGTGGAAGGCATGAGCACTCATGTGCACCTACCCAGATGTTTTTGTAAATTATCATTCACATGAGAATTCCTAATGGGACCAAATACAGTACTGTGGCCCAAATCAAACATACAAGTTGCGCTAGATTTGCAGAAGGTCCTGGGCTGGAAGGGACCACTTTGGGAGAATGTTGTAAATGAGCAAACTGAGGTCCATCAGTACTCTACTGATTATAAAATACAGCTCTTCCTATGTGAACACCTTGAATTTCTGTCCCTCTTCTGGGCAGATGCCTCCTGTGGGTCCCTGCAGCTGCTAAATATAGCTGTCTGTGGCTGGCTGCACATGCAACAGCACCCCCCAGTCTATCTCCAGGTCTCAGTTACAGAGTGGTCCTCCCCAGGGTCATTCTATGTACACACTACATATTTTCAGCCAACGAGGAGAGTGAATCAAACAGTAAGAGACAAACAGAGATAGACTGGAGTCTGGCACCGAGCACATAAGGCAGCACGTTAGAGAAAGCCGGCCCCTGGATTAACCTTCCGAGTCCAATTCAAACACTGTCTTCTCCGGGCCACCTTTAGGAAATCTCTCTGCGCCCCCGCCCTCCTGCAGTGAAATCCAGCTTCCATCCAGCAGTAACAAGTAAAGTAAAGTTCACGGAAGCTGCTCCTTGGGGTCGCTCCAAAAAAACGAGTTGCGCCTGGAGTGATGTTTAATCCAATGTCAGTGCAAGGTAACAGTCCTTGGCCGGCTTCCAGCACCTTTGTAATGCTTACGAGCCCGGGAGATCCGCACTTAAAGTTGAAGACCGGGAGCTCAAGAAGTTGGCTGCACTTGCTCGCTTCTGGCCGCAGGGGTCCAGGGCACGCAACGGCTCAGGGACAGGGTCGCGGCGGGACATGCGCTGCGCTGTCTCTAACCAGGAGGACTGTACTCTTCTTTCAGGTGGCCGGTCGGCTGCTGAGCCCTCTGCTGTGCGGAGAGAAGGTTTGCGCCTTGCCCGCGGCCACTAACGATGACCATGACCCTCCACACCAAAGCATCCGGAATGGCCCTGCTGCACCAGATCCAGGGCAACGAGCTGGAGCCCCTGAACCGCCCGCAGCTCAAGATCCCCCTAGAGCGACCCATGGGAGAGGTGTACGTGGACAGCAGCAAGCCTACTGTCTACAACTACCCCGAGGGCGCTGCTTACGACTTCAACGCTGCTGCCGCCGCCTCCGCTCCCGTCTACGGCCAGTCCAGTCTAGCCTATGGCCCGGGGTCCGAGGCGGCAGCGTTCGGTGCCAACGGCCTGGGGGGCTTTCCTCCGCTCAACAGCGTGTCGCCAAGCCCCCTGGTGCTGCTGCACCCGCCAACGCAGCTCTCGCCCTACCTGCACCCCAACGGCCAGCAGGTGCCCTACTACCTGGAGAACGAGCCCAACGGTTACGCCGTGCGCGAGGCTGGTCCTCCCACGTTCTACAGGTACCTGCTGCGCCTGCAGCGCCACATCGGGGTGGCCGCCGAGCGCCTGGTAGGCGGGCGGGCGGGAGGGAGCGAGTGAGCCGGGGGAGGCGGCAGGCCGCGGGGCTGGCAGCGCGCAAACGGCGCGACCGGCTACCGGCAGCGGATGCGCCACCCGAGGGCTAGTGCGCAGCCACACCCGGGGTTATTTGTGGATCTCGCGTTGAGGAGTCAAGTTCTCTAGCTTGGCAGCTTAAAGGAAATTTACTTCTCCACCGCACGACTGTCTGCTTGAGAGATCCGAAACCCCGTATGCTTCCTAACCAAACAAATATTGGAAAACCTGACAAAGCAGCAATTACTTGAGGGGGAGAAACACTCCACAGCAAATAGACATGGGGTGGTTTGAGTCCCTAGTAAATGTCCCGCTTTGGTATTTAAGGCTGGAGGCTCTTGGGGTTAGGGGAGCTCGGACCGATCTGTCTGTCATCTATCTATCTATCTATCTATCTATCTATCTATCTATCTATCTATCTATCTATCATCTATCTATCTATCTAAAAATATTGTTCAATATACTCAAAACATTTCCTTTCGTCTAGAATTTTGAATTGCAAATACGCCCGTGGTGATGATGATGATAATTTTTCGCTGGGGGGAGGGGGCGGAACAATTCCTAGAATTCACTGTCCTCCTTCCAGACCAGGTTTGCAGTAAGGTCGAACTGCACTCCTCAGGGACCGACAGAGGAGCTGAGTGGGTCCCACGTTTCTGTTTCCTCAGTTGTCTAGCTGGGTCCTGCTGGAGCAGGTGGCTGGCGTGTGACTTGGGACAGATAAAACTTCATAGGCTTCCTGTCAGTTTGAAACATGCCACACTGAGGCACAAGTGTTTCTGAAATACCCCCTGCTACAATATACAATATACGATACCCCCCTGCTATACAATATAGCTGTATTGTATTTCATGCCCACCTGGCCAAAAATGCCCCAAAGCCCAGTTCAGTGTTCAGTGCCTTCTGCCCCTCTCAGTAGCTGTAGAAGAAGGCTTGGCAGTTCAGAACACACAGGAACACTTGTGACTTAAATGACAAACGTTTTATGTCCTTATTTTTTTTCCCTAGTAGAGAATATACTTTCCCACTCCCCTCTCCCTCCCATTTCCCCTTTGATAGTTTCTTTCTTGTCTTCCTGATTGACTTGGGGAGGGCTTGGGTGGGTGTTTCCGGTGAATAGCTGTACCCTGGCCCCCCACAGACAGGGATACCTGTGCAGGAGACCTCAGGGCGCCCAGGTGGCGGGGTGCTGAGTTAGGCACTGCCTGACTGTATGCTGCTGTCAGATGGGGCTGCTCCCTCCCCGGACCCTTCTCCATGTAAGCTATGGACCATTTTTTTTAGCCCGTGTTCTATCTCCAGAGATACTGATATCAGAAGAAAGAGGAGGAAGGTGCAGATTGGCCCCAGAGGATTCTGAAGGGCAGGTTCTTGCGGTTTCTAAACTTCCCCAATATCCTTCAGCCCCCTCAAAGGATGTCCGAGCATTGCACTGTCAAACAAGTTCAGCCCCAGCTGTGACTTAGTAGATGAACAGCAAGCAAAACTTTAAAAACTTAAAAATAACACAACTTTACAAAGCATATTTCAAATTCACTTTCCTTGTTTTAATAAAGGGTTAAAATGAAAAGAGGAAAAGAACTTATTCTGCCCACTTTTTGAAAAAACAGTGTTAGAACAAAATAGAACCATTACATCAAATTCACACGTTTTTAAGCTCCCTCATGTGAAAGAAGACTCTGCTACAATGTCAGTTCCATAACCTTATGATGGACTCCAAGAACTATTTTCTTTTCCATTAATTTTCAGTTCTTTTATTGCAAATGAATGCCACTGAATTTCAATGGGCACTAATGAGACTGCTCCTTGGTGGATTATTTACTGCCTTGCTAATAATTGCAAAGTAAGTATGGTCAAATAAAAGGGGGATCACATTTTATTCAAAACTGTTCATCGTCCCAGGGGCAAATCATATCACTATAATGTGCTCCGTCTGAAACTTTTTGCAAGAGATGATATTCATATATTTTTAGAATAGTATGAAAAAATGGTGTGTAACTTATTGAAAAAGTAAAAAATTTCACACAGGTGGGATTCTTTGTGGGAATTCGGTTTTAGGGTGTGTTTTATCCTTTGTAGTTTATTTCTCATCACATCCTTCTTCTTTTGTTTGAATTTTGCCTTTTATTACCCAAGGGAGGAGAAAAAAAGGTCTATGCAAGAGTTTATTTAATATTATTATTCAATGTTATTTAGTATTTCCCCCTTTTTAATTTTCCTGTTTGTATAACACTGGGTAAGATCAAAGAATTGATTAGATTCTGTGAGGAAACTTTCATTTTCTTCAGTTGTTATCAAAAGTTTTGAGGGCCAAAAGCAGTGTTTTCAAACTGCTTATTATGACCTGGAGGGTCAGAAATTCAGTTTAGTGAGTGTAGAACATTTTTTAGAGGAATAAACTGGAAGAGAAGATACTAGAGAGTGTTAGAGTGTATAATATTTAGTAGGGTGGGTTTTGTTACCTGGAAAATTGCTGTAATTATACATGCTTGCGTGTAAAATGCATGTCTTCCTGTGTGTTGAGGCCAAAGAAATTTGAAAGCTATTAGCCTAAAATATGTTCAGTGGAAAACAAAAAAAATTCAGATAAGTGCCTGGTTATTTTATCTGCACAAACCAAAAAAGCTACTTTGATTCTCTTTATTTTATTTCACTCCCCTTCCCCATAAATTAGTTGGTATCTCTAGGTCAGTTAGATTAAGCTTTACTGTTGAGAATTTATGTGAAGTTCACATTATTTAGCATAAGGATGCTATGGTTCGATTGGCCACAATATTCAGTCATATCTGTGTATGAAGAAATGTAACCGATAAGACTGCCCTGGACATGTAATAATGTGAGAAACATTGTCACATGTCCCAACCAATTACTAAGAGGGAATAAATTTATATGTAGGCAAACTGTGACTTCGAAAGATATTTCTGACCTACAAGTTCATGATGAAGGCACCTGGGAGTCATCTAGTCCTGGGTCCCTAGTTAGAGTTCAAACAGCTTAGGAAAGTTGGAATAAACTAAAGTTGAATTTTATTATATCCACTGTGATTTTTTAAATTCTAAGGAGGTATTTAATCCTCCATGCTTATTTCAGCTTTGTTACTCAATATTCTTAAAGGCTAAATATTGCCTACTTCTCAAAATGGCTCTACAATTATACAAATCTGTATCAAAGTCAGTGCCCTGATAATTTGTACACTGTGGCACTGGCTGTGCACATGTTTTGAATGACTAGTTCGTCCACTGGTGACCATTTAAAACTATTTTTTAACTTTGAAGAAGGCTCATCTCTAGGGAGAGATTTTAATGGCTAATTTCCAAGTTTCCAATATTTCTTTCCTTCTATTCTGGTGATATTTTAGCACCCTTTCTCTCTGTTCTTACGTTTTTTCATTTATTGAAATCGTTAGCCTTTACCCAACACATTGTGTTGGTCTAAAAAGAGTTCAAGGAGCCACATTTCGCCTCGAGAATGAGTGTATTTTTGGTTGAAAACGAAGTCGTATCTTCAACCCCGTTTCATTTTCACCTACTCCATGTGGCTTGTGCCTGTTTAGTAGAAAGCCCCTGAAGGATAATTGGCACTTATTCTAATCTTTTTTTTCTCACAGTCAGTTAATTTGGGTCCTCAGATGATTTTTGTGAATATATTTAGGATATGATGTTCATATTCAGGAAATATTAAGGTTTAGCATTTTGGTGTCTTACTGTTACAAGGGCATAAAAGGGGCAAGAAATTGCTAATGGCAGGAACAATAGATTATCAAGAAGAGCTATAGAAGTTGTCAGGCTTTCTGTTAATGATATGGCATTTGTAATTTTGTTGAGTGAGAGAGTATGTGTGAAAGTGGTACATAAGGTGTCCATGCATTCAATATTTCACTATTTGATTCACACACTGGTACTTTTGTAAGATAGAAAATAGCAGGGAAGAACAGATTTAAAGTGGTCAGGAGTTTCCACTACAAATATAGATTATGATGATATGAAATCATTCTCTTTGAAAGCCAAATGTAAATAAAACCTTTAGCATCATCTGCAACATTTGTTTGCAGCCTGGGCTGTCGTACACATTATTTATCTTGCCCTAGCTGGGTAGCTCAATTAGTTAGAGCATCATCTTGATATGCCAAATTTACTGATTCAATCCCGGTCAGGGCACATAGAAGAATCAACCAATGAATGCGTGAATCAGTGAAATAGCAAAGCGATGTTTTTTTCTCTCTCAAGCCAATAAATAAAAAAAAATTTTAAAAGAATATTTATCTTATAGATACATTTTTAAAAAGTTAAAACCCTAATTGTGTGAAAAGTGTTGTACACAGGGAGATGTATGGACCTTAATTATATTTTTCTAAAATGCAGACTCAACACAGCAATAATAGATCTAATGCCTCCCCGTGATTTCAGTATTATTTTTAATGTAACTTTTGAAGAACACAGTAGAGAGCAACCTGCTGTGTTCTCTTCTTTCTCAGGAGACATTAGATGGGTAGAGGCAAATAAGTCATTTAGTTTAATTCCAGATCTCAGTTTGCATATTGAAGAAAGCAAAACATAGTAGCCACAACTGTTCAGTACCAAAATGTATATGCCACAGAAAGATGCTGTATATTTTCCAAAAGAATACAGCCATTTGGAACAAACTCACCAAAGTGAAAGTGTGGGGATTTCCTAGGAGGCATGCCATCGAAGTCATTGAATAGCTTTATTTTATATTTTAAACTCTGCCAATGAGTTGACGGACAATGTTATTTTAAAGACACTGTGTCAGAGCTGTTCCCTACTTCGTCCCTGGCACAAATGCTCACGCTGCCCTCTGAAATCTGAGGACGCAAGCAGGCTGGAGGTGAAGGGAAGCACCTTTCTGAGAGTCTCCATCTAATGAGGGAAGAAACCATAACTCCCGA